ATAGAATATTTTCTGCATACAATTTTTCACACTCAATGAACAATTCCAAATTACAGTCAAAACGTCGGACAATGGAGTGGGACCTTTAGAATACCAATCTAAGAAATTCTGGTTGTAGGTCTATAGTTCTCACTATTGACCTATATCAAAAAAATTCTGCATAGAAATTTCTCACCCTCTAACATTCCGGAATGAGAAATCACTGCAACTTCGGTGGGAGAATGAATCTGAAAACCTTCAAAATACCAACCGAGGGGTTAAAACATAATCTGCATAGATGCATATCAGCCACCAAATAGAAATATGCGGTAAAAACCTTGCGGGTTTTGTCAAAATTTAGACCTACGAACAATATTTTCTACATAAATGTTTTTATGTTTCAAAGAACAATTTCAAATTACAGCCAAAATACCGACAATGTAGTGGGACCTTTAGAATACCAACCTAAGAAATTCAAAATTCCGAAAATTAAGCGGAACCATTATATGGGTGCTATTAAAACACAAACTTCTACGAAGAAGCATTTAATTCACTAATGAATGACAAATTACAGAATCTTCGATAACAAATGTGAATACAACATATAGAAATTACAAAAGAATTGAGCTGAAAGAATTGAGTGAATGCAAAATACCGAAAATTAAGCGGAACCATTGTATGGGTTCTATTAAAACACAAATTTCTACGAAGAAGCTTTAAATTCACCAGAAATCTGGAATGACAAATTGCAAAAACTTCGATGAAAAATGTGAATACAACATACAGAAATTACAAAAGAATGCAGCTGAAACCCTTCAAAAGACCGACCGAGGGGGCGGGAGTAATATATATATGGACTATGTTAAAACATGATATGCATATGCGGTTAAAACATTGCGGGTTTCGTCAAAATTTTGACCTACATAGAATATTTTCCACTTAAATGTTTTTAAACCTCAAAGATCAATTTCAACTTACAGCCAAAATGCCGACAATGTAGTGGGACCTTTAGAATACCAACCTAAGAAATTCAAAATTCCGAAAATTAAGCGGAACCATTATATGGGTGCTATTAAAACACAAACTTCTACGAAGAAGCATTTAATTCACTAATGAATGACAAATTACAGAATCTTCGATAGAAAATGTGAATACAACATATAGAAATTACAAAAGAATGTAGCTGAAACCCTTCAAAAGACCAACAATGGAGGCGGGATCTCCGTCGAATAATATCGAATATTTTCCGCATAGATATTTCTCAGCTTCCAAAATTACAGTTAAAACCTTCAACATACCGACCATGAGGCGGGACTTTTTTTATGCAAAATGTTTTTCTTCCTCCAATAACCTTGCAAAATCGACAAAATTATGTCGGTTAAATACGAGTACAGGTCTAGCTCAACCCATTCGTTTATACCTTTCACCATGTAACTGGAACCTTCGGAACATTTCCATATACATATGATGGTAAAAGTAATTAAAATGTATTAGCTCTGATATTATTGCGGTTTGAATCCATAAAAAAAATCGTCAATATTTCGCGATGTTTGCATTCTCTTGACCAATTATAGGTCAAGAGCTCCACTTTCTTAACCTGCCATATTTTGCAAATCTTGTTTTCCCAAGGTGAATGTTTACACCATAAAATAAAAATTTGTCACTTTAGGTTATGGTAGGTTTGGCCCTCGGATTATTGTCCGATCCTCATGTAAACAGCCGTTCTAAGTATTTGGTCAGATCCCCTTCACCATGTAAAATATGTGATGTTCTACATATAATAATGACTTATTGAAAATCTGACAAAAATAAAGTTTTCGGTTAATTATACCCCATAAATATCATATCAACATCACCGAAAATTATAGACGTCGTCCTTGACCACAACCAGAACTTCGTGTAAAATTTCAAGGCGATCAGCGCAAAATTTCCGCCTTCTAGTGGGGTAATCGTAATACTGCACAAAGCTATAATACCCTGACAACATAGTTGGGTAGGGTATAAATACCAAGTCGATTGATTTGATAAGTGCTACAATGTCAACCCCACAGTCCATATGTTTTGAAAAACGCTACAGGTCTCAAATAGAGACATAATTCCGATTAAAGCCTAGTATATTAGTGTTTAACGACTACTTTATTTGAAATGAAATATAGAAAACTTAAGAATGACTTTAAAAAATTCATAGGGAAGTAAACTATTTTTCGAGAATAGAATAGTTGATGTTCAAAGATAGTAGTTCCGTTCCTAGACCCATCGTCATATCTCGACTAGCTGAGTCGATCTAGACATGTGTGTCCGTCTGTCCATTATAATTTGTAAACACGATACAGGCCACAGTTATGGACCAATCTTCATGAAATTTTGCATGTTGGATGAGTTCGGCAAAATGAAGACCCGTATATTTTTGGTAAATATCGGTAAATATTTAGGGGATGAAATGGACCAAATACTTAATTTTTGTCGGTTTTTCTGGTCGATCCAAAGGCCGTAAATATGGCCCAAACATCTCGAATTTTTACATGGAGAAGGGGATTGGGCCAAAGAAAAAGCATGCCGGTTTTGATAAAGCGGGTCAAATGGACCCCGACTTTTGTTTGAAATATTACAAAATTTGTTTTCTTTGGCATATATATTTAATCCTGAAGGACATATGCCCGAGAAGTTGATAGTATATCCAACAGGAGTGGTTGTCCTTTAAATTTATATCAATTACATTACCGTAGGTACTTGGATGTTGGAGTTACACTTAAATATTTACGTTGCTTACGTATTCACATATTATTTAGTAACCCATTTCAACACTAGAGGTCGAAAATATAGCGCTGATCGCTTTAAAATTTTCCATGAGGTTCCAGTTATGGTCAAGGACAACGTCTATAATTTTCCGTGATGATCAGATAATAATTTTGGGTTGAAGTAGGCCGAAAACTTAATTTTTTGTGTTTTTTGGAGTTGATATATATGCCACAATTATAAGCCGAACATCACAACACAACCCACGGTGAAGGAAATCTGGGCAAGTGTAGAAGGGCTGTACTGAATATTAGAAATATTGGGAAAATATGTCAGTGTAAGGAAAAGGTCCTGTTGACCTCTAATCGGACAAGAGGGTACAAACATCAGAAAAATTCCCTAGGTTCGGTTTAAACATCAGCAGAAAGTTAAAGTTCCGTGATGTGTAGGGTATCGTATGGTCGGCCCCGCCCGAAAAAAATTGCCATCAAATGTGGCTCAATTTAGTATTCTATTGTTATGTGGGTTCCAAGATGTCCTCCTAAAAAAATTTGATGTAAGTCCACATTGTATAAATATCGCCTATATATAGAGATCCGGCCAATTTTATTAGATGAACTTCGGGTAATGTGGACTACTTTTTTCAATAACATAGTACAAATGTTGTCTAAATCTGGATAATTGGACCCGTATGTAAAAAAAAAACGGTTGTGGATTGCATGTGACAATTTCCTATTTATGTAAATCTTGGGTAACAATGGAATCAAAAATAATTTAGTTTGGGAAAATGAAATCCATTATTTTTATATGAACTATAGGATATATGCAGCGTTTTGTTGTATGATTTGTTGCCATTTTAAAGGTACCTTCATAATGCCTTTTCATAGTAGTCCAGCTCTCTAGTTGCAAAAAACTCTAGTAGTCGATTTTCACAATCCTCTCTAGATACCAATTGTTTATCATAACAGAAATTTTGCACTGCAAGAAAAATATGATAATCGCTTGATGCCAAGTCCGGACTGTATGGCGGATGCATTAAAACTTCCCAACCAAGCTCCCGAAGTTTCTGGCAAGTCTCTGTAGATGTGTGTGGCCTACCGTTGTCCTGGTAGAACACGCCAATTCTGGCCGTTTCTGGTCAATTGCTATCTTCGAATGGCCCAGTTGTTGACAGTAGAGATCAGAATTTAGCGTTTGGCCATATGGAAGCAATTCATAAATAATCCCCTTCCAGTGCCACCAAATGCATAGAACCTTCCTGGCCGTTAGTCCAGGTTTGGTCACCGTTTGAGGTGATTCACCGCTCTTTGACCACGATCGTTTTCACACAGGTTTATCGTAATGTAGTACCATATGGATTTGAAAATATCAAGTAACTGTCAGTATGTATATAAATCGCATATTTATTATATGATTTCCATATTTATTATATTTCAATTCAATTGGTAATGAAATGTTTAATAAATTAAATATTGAATACAAAATTTTCACACAACTTTCAAATTCATTCAGTAAAGTTTCATTTAAATGAAGGTCAAATTTCAAAACTATGAATGAAAAATAAAATTCTCAGAATTAACAATACGAATTACAAATTATTAATAAATATTAAAATTGAATTTTATTTATTAAAAACAAAATTCAATGATTTATGATCATAAAAACAACAACTTCAAATTGATGATTTGGTCATGGGAGATAATGGGAGTAGAACTAGAACTAGGGGCGGAACTAGAGTATTTTTCTGTCTACTTTTAATGACGTCAAACTAAATGATTTTTTTTTTTAATTTTAAATATTAATAATTTATTTTTATATATAGTCGAACTTCTATAAATCGAATTCTCTTTAGCACCAAGCGCACGTTGTGGCAATGGGACAAAGGATGCAAATTACAATTACTTCCATAGCTCGAAGTCATCATAAGTGGCATTTTTCTTCTCGATAATGCTGGGTCGTGTTATGGCAATTCGACTGCCCATTTTTTAAATTTTTTTGTTCCTATTTGTCCAAATTTTGTCATTGAGCCAAAGAAAAGCTGACCAGAAACTAAAGGCATATTTTTTCAAACGAAAGTTAGTCCAATATTTCAATCTGATTATAAAATACATTTTTTTTTTTAATTTTTTCCCTCAAATTTTTTTTTATCTGTCAAAAATTCCTTTCATTGAACGCTAATTGAAATTACAAATCCATTCACTAAATGAATAATATATCTACAAATGAATGAAGAAAAAAATCAAAAATAAAGTAACGAAAACAAAAACACTTCTGATTAGACTTACCTTTTGCCATTGCGTCGCCTCCGTTTGGTGGCATAAACGGTGCCGAGCTGGCTCATTGCTAAGGCGGAGTTCGTTATGGTAGCCGTTTTGAAGGATTCTGTGGAACACTGGTGTACAACAACAACAAAAATATCAACGAAAAAGGAACGCGCAAATGGAATATAATTCCGAAATTTTCAAATGGCAAAACGGCGGCAGTGGTTACGGCTACGGTGGCGTCTGTAACCAACAATCAAACACCCAGGCAGGCAGCCACAGCCAAAAACAAAAAAACGAATTGAAAAAAAGCAATCAGCCAACAAACAATTGCAGTAACAACACCCAAACACTTTAGCAATTGTTGTTGTTGTTATTGGCGTTCTTTTTTCGGAGATTTTTTTAAGGCGTGAGATTTGTATTATTTTGTTGGTTTTTATTTTTCCACTGGCGTTTTTAGTGCCTTCATTGCTCCTCAACTCCTTTGGGGATAATTTTTTGTTCTATAAGGGAATCCGTAGTCTGCAGAAGATTTAACTGGAAGTTGATGTTTTGTTTGTTATCTCGGAGTGTTTTAATTTTGTGTCGTTTTTGTTGTTGTTGTATTTTTTATATTTGCGGGGGTTTCGTCGCTTTTTGTTTCGTTATCTTGGCAAAATATTTATGTTATTTTTAACACGATTGTCATTAGTTAAGAGAGAGAGAGAGATTTTTTCTGTCGTTTTGTTAATTAATTAAATGTAGTGGCGTTTCACTTTGTTCACTAAGTCAGTCAGTCACTCACTTCATTCACTACTATTTATACACTCATTCGTTGTCGTCGTTCACTTTTTTGTTGCTGTTAATTATTGCACATTTTTAGGTTTAGTTGTTTTTTTTTAAGATTTGAAAGATTTTTTTGTTTGTTTTCATTTTGTTTGCCATGAAAGATTTTGATAACGATCTGCAAGAGAAGAAGAGAAATATTTAGGGATTTAATAGATATTTTACTATCGATGGGGGTTTTAAGGGAATGGCAAATGTTGTGGAATTCGACTAAACATTTCTTTGGTATTAAACTATAAAATCGAATAATTTGACGGAAAAAACTTTATCCCAATACAAGCACTTTTTACAATAAATACTTTGGAGAAAATATGGCAAAATGTAGAATTTTATTAAATGTTAAAAAGTTTTTTATCAACGATTATTGAAGGCTACTGAAAAAATATTTTTTTAAAAATCCACGATCATAGAAATGTATTAAAAAACTATATTTTTAAATCCAAAATGATTTTTAAAAATACAAGCTATGCTATGGAGGCCAGGGGTCTTAAAAATACAAGCTATGCTATGGAGGCCAGGGGTCTTAAAAATATTTTTTAAAAAATCCATGCTCATGGAAATGTTATATGTATATATATTTTTTTTTAAATCCAAGCTTAAATTCTCTCCTATGGAAGCTCATTGACAAAAATATTTTTTTTTTATCCCCACTTATTGAAGTTCTTTGAAAATATATTTTAAAAAGCCGTTCTGATGGAAGCTTCTGGAAGAATATTTTTAATTAACTGTTATTAAAGGCTACTGAAACAAAACGATTTAAAAAAATTACCCTCATAAAATGGCATTAAAAACTATTTTTTAAAAAATCCATGCTCATGGAAAGGGTATATATATATATTTTAATCCAAGCTTTGAGGCAGTACACTTTCATGATTATGGATTTTTAAAAAAATATTCACTGAGTGTGGATTTTTAAAAAATATTTTTTCCGTATCCTTCGAACGGGGCCGACCATACGATACCCTTCACAACTATCACAAAACTCTATCATTCTGCAGATTTTTATTCTGAGCCTGGGTAATATTTCGTGATGCATGGACCCGATTAAAGGTTAATAGCACGTCTTTCATTCACTGACATATTTTCCGAATATTACTAATGTTCAGTACAACCCTTCTAATTACTTATCCAGATTCCCTTTACCGTGGGTTGTGTTGTGATGTTCGGCTTAAAATTGTAGAATCAAATAAAAAAATCGTTCCACTTCATCCAAAAATTATTATCTCATCATCAACGAAAATTATAGGCGTTGTCCTGGACCATAACTGGAACCTCATGGAGCATTTCAAAGCGATCAGCGCTATATTTCCGCCCTCTAGTGTGGTAATGGTTTATTAAATACGTAATCACTTGTAAATATTAACGTGTAATTCCCACATCCGAGTACATACGACAATATATTTGGTATCAAATTAAATGTCAACCTCTCCTCTTGGATATTCAACGTCTCGGCTCTGTGTCCTTCAGGAGTAAATATATACGCTATAGAATACAAATTTTGTAATTTTTCACACAAAAGTGCTTATTCTTTGGCCCAATCCTCAATCTCCATGTAAAAATTCGAGATACTTGGGCCATAATTGCGGCCTCTTGAGCGACCAGAAAAAACGACAAAAATTAAGTATTTGGTCCATTTCATACCCTAAATATTAATCGATCTATACCAAAAACAATAGGGAGTTCATTGGCCAGAACCCATCCTACATGCACAATTTCGTGAAGATTGGTCCATAACTGTGGACGGACACACATGTCTAGATCGACTCAGCTAGTCGAGATATGACGATCGGTATACTTAAAGGTAATTATTCGCGGAGTTACAAACTCTTGGGGCTGCACAAAGCCATAATATCATAGAATACCACTTATAATCATAGAATCATATAAAATTCTCGATTTAAAATTCCCACAATTTTTCTAACGGCTGGCAAAAGAACATAGATGATTTTGAAGACTTTCTCATCACTAAAGCATTCGAAACTCAAAATTCGAATGTGATTCGGGAGTGTAAATGTCTGATTTTTTTTTTAATCACATTCTTTTTGACCAATATACAGATTAGAATTAAGCAAAATCTTCACCGATTGAACTTATCCCAGTTCAGACGATAGCTATGTGCGTTTAGAGTAATAATAAGTTTTTGGATTATCGTTTCCGCCAATCATAGTTTGTGAAACATGTTCTCTGCTCCTAGCGCTTCCAGCGTAAATTGGATATATATTTACAAGAGTTGTAATTTTTTTCTTGAAATTTTAAAGGCACCTCCCGGAGTAATTACAAATTCGATGGGAGGGTTTAAAAAAACTGACAAAATTTGTATATATTTTTTCGAAATCGACCCACAAAAAGGAGTTTTTGGACACTGTGCATGGAAGGTAAGTAAGTGGCAAATTTAAAATCAAGCCTTCAGACAAAATTAGTTCATGTTCTAGAAAAAAATTTCAAAAAAAAAACACAATAAATATTTTTTATAATTTTCACTTTTTGAAAGGAGATACGTTACTTTGGTTATTTTTTAAAGGATCCCAAAATATGTATTAGAGACATTGTTTGGTATTGAAAATATCGGTCCACGGTTACATTCTTCGGTATAAGTAGATATTCGGTTCACTTTAAAAGTCCCCACATATTAGATGTTTTGAAAGTCCAAGTATTTTTATTAGAAATCGAATTAAACTGTCCACAAAAAATATCCCATACATTGACTATTAAATTTGTCATTCCGATTGCAACACCTCGAGATTTCAAAACAAATTTCTTTGAAATCACGATATAGATCGCAGTATTTAATGTAGAGCTTTGGAATTTAGTAATTCCACGATATTTGGTATTGCATATGGGATCGGAACCTCCAAATATTCAATATTTTGAGAAAATTGGATACATTTTGAAACAAATTAATTTTTTGAGTTCTCCCATCCAAAAATTATTCAAATTGACGCAAAATTTCGGGGTAGCTCCAACTATTTAGAGCAGATCTCATATATTTTTACCTCCCAAATTTCGATCGTTACGGGCCATTTTCGGTATATCCAAGTCCAACATGGTTTTGGTATTTTACTTTTTTTCTGGAATTAAATATTTTGAATGCCGTCGACTTTTTCATTTGTTTCAACTAAAATATTAGGGCATATTCGGAAATTCACAGTGAGTTTTTTTTACACTTTACACATACACTTCAGCTCAAAACTGAACTGCTATTGTAGTTCTTACGTGAGCGGAAGCTTTCTACTTGTATGTAAATTTATTTCGCGTTATGTTTAGGAAGTTCACTTTCTGGCATGTTGGGCGCCAATTGTATTTTAAAATATATAAATTTTCTGAAATTACACTATACGTCTAAAAATGTTTTGTGATGATGATGATTTTTTCATATAATTAACATTTTTGTATAGATATACAAATGGCGCCCAACATTTTTTTAACATTTCTTTGACCTCCTTCAATCAAGACTTCTCACCAGGAATTATAAATCCACGCTTATTGCTCTGATATACCTTAAAAGCGATTTTTTTTTTAATCTGCTCCTATGGTTCTGATAGTCATGGAAAAATATTCTTCAAAATCCACGCGCCAGCCTGTGATTGTCGTTGAAAAAATATTCTTAAAAAAATCTAGGTTTATTACTTCAAAAGTCAGTGAAGCAATTCTTTATCAAATCCACGCTTATAGCTCAGATATTGCTGGGAAATATATATTTTTAAAATTTTCACACGTATTGCTCTGACAGACCTTTAAATTGAAATTCATTAAAAAAATATTTTTGATTCCCAATTATTTAAAATATTTTTGAAGAATAGAACACAAATATACACTGTCTTCAATATTTGGAATAATTTAATTGAAATAAAAATAAGTCTTTTAAAAATTTGCCTTAGTAGATTTTTCAAATTTTTTCCTGATCCATATTCCATTTCTTGTTGTCATTTATGTTGTTAAATTCGTGACACGAAGACAAAAAAAACAATAACAAATATTGTTGTTATTATTGTAAACAAGATTCGATTGCGTGCAATTAAATGTTTTAAATCGAGAGGGGACACGGAGGGGTGGGAGGTCTAAACAATTTTCAAATCCAATGTACAATGTAATGCCTTAGTTTTTCTTGCTGTTGTTTTTGTTAATTACCAACAATTTTTGGTATTTTCGTTTTTTTTTTTTTTGCACAAAAGAATTTTATTTGTTTATTGAACTGAAAATTAACACTCATGTACCGACAGACAGTACTGATATTGACACGCACCTTAACTTGCAAAAGAAAAAAAATCCGACCAGAAACGTTTTCTTTGTTTTGTTTATC